ATGGCAGCAATACACCATGCAACGGCGAATGGTTGATTTGTAGATTTGAAAGATAGACTCCGGCGAGAAAAATTTGAAATGGGATAAGGCACCCGATCCCTATATAGAACTTAGCGGCACCATATACCTCATTGTACTTAGAGAAGTGGGGTCGGTGTAATATTCCCATCAGCGTGACACTGGCTTTTGTCCTTGACCCATATGTATGCGTATGGGCAATCTACGTAAAAAAAAAAAAAAAATCCTGTGAAAAAATTTGCCGTAGTGGTGGGGTCAGGTAAATAGAATTATTATTTTTTTTTTATTTGTCTGCCGTGTTTCATTCTTCGAATAATTCACAGAAAATTTTTGAGGAATACCTGATCCCTAGGATTCAAACCTTACGGCGTCACACCCTCCCATTGTTGGATACCAACACCAGCGTGATAGTGGTCGCAGTGAGTGGGCAATCTTTGTCCTTGGATCATATGTAAGCGTATGGGCATTCTACTTAAAAAAAATTAACCTGTGACGAAATTTGCCTTAGTGGTGAGGCCAGGTAAATTAGCGTATGGGTATTCTACGTAAAAAAAAAACTGTAACGAAATTTGCCTTAGTGGTGAGGCCAGGTAAATAGAATTATTTTTTCACTTGTCTGTCGTGTTTCACTCTTTGAATAATTCACAGAAAATCTTTGAGGAATACCTGATCCCGTGGGATTCAAACCTTACGGCGTCAGACGCTCCCACTGTTGGATACTAACACTAGCCTGATATTGGTGGCAAGGAGTGGGCAATCTTTGTCCTTGGCCCATATGTAAGCGTATAGGCACCCGGCATTAAAAACGACATTGTGTCATATCCGCCACCGCGAGGCGAGGTGATTAAATACCGGATACAGAAGAAACTAATCCACGTTTGTACAGAATTTTGATAAGAACGTCCAACGAAGATGGGAGGTGATAAGAGAGAAAATGCGAACCATGAAAAGATCAATAAAGGAGTAACATTGTCAGATAATGGATAAACTTAGTTTTCAACAGCCACCGAAATTCCACAAATCCAAATAGTAATTTATAATTGCTATTGTCACCTGATATCAGTTAAATAATTCGAAGTTGTCACATATCGCTTGGATCTCAGTTGAAATAAAAGAAACCTTTAGTAGCAATATGGAGGCTATATCCTTGGCGCGGCACTCGTTAATCCGGTTATCACCACTCGTTGATCCGGTTATCACCACCTCCAGTGTCGACAGAAAACTATTCGTTAAATTCTTAAGAGTACTTCTGCCAGAAATATTTACATTATATGAAATAAAAGTAAATAAAAGATTTATTAAAAATCAAGTGTATTGCTTGTTACAGTCTTTGTAATCTTTTTATGTGCTGTTTCATTTCATGTGGTAGTCGATTATAGCTCTCTACAGCTTCCTAACTTTCGTAGGTATCCTTAGCAGTCCCTGTTCTACTGTTGATTTACCCATATTTTACTCGCTGTTTCAGCCCGTCTTGTCTTCAATAATTTTTGAGAGTGTTAATATCACCAATCCCTCTTTCTTCATTATGTGTTCCAGAAATTTCAACAGTCTATTTCAAATTGTACCTTTTTCTTTCTTGACTTCCTTCAGATTTTCTCGTTACTTACAAGCTCCGCCCATGTTATTCTCAGTATCCTTCTGTAGGACTATATCGTCGTTGCCTCAAACCGCCTCTTTATCTGTCAGGAAATTATTCAATATTTTCCATCACATAGGCATCTTGATATGTTAAATAGCAGTTCAATATGCCTTTTTCTAGCTTCAGATTTCCATGACATATTTTCCGTCACCTGTTATAAAACTTCCTAGAATGTTAATGTATATCTGTTATTTTAGACAAACATGCTATTTTAACTGAAAAAATCTGAATCCCGTTGTCATAGAAGATCTCTCGGAAGAAGATAGAAAGTACTTGAGTTAAACAAAACTACAGCACCTTCCTTGATGAATTTCATCTCAACATCAAGAAACTGATTAGACAACTGGAAAGGATCAGTATAAAAATAAGTAACTACAGTATGTCTATATTATTCAATGAAACATGTATGAATGAAGATATGCTGCCTATATATATATATATATATATATATATATATACCGGGTGTAACAGCAAAATTGTTTAATTGTTAGATTAAGCTTTAAATCGTTGTATCTTAGAAATGATTAAAGATATCTTACTGGAATTCTTCTGGGTGTTTATACCACTATTGGACTCTACTTTGAGCAGTACGAATGTATAACTACTCTCCAAGCTTAACAGAAGAATCGTGATGACATCGACCATAAACAAAAATGACATGTTCATCACTAATTAATCATAGCTAAAGATCGGAAAGTCATGAAGGATTGAGATAAAGTACACGCACACACTAACACACACACACACACACACACACACACACACATATATATATATATATATATATATATATATATATATATATATATTATTCCAGGGTTATTTTTCAACGTATTCAAGATGAACTTTGCCCTTTCTGGCTGGAGTAACATTGTGCCTCACAGATTTCATATACGATTTCATTTGCAAATCTTTTTCTACTGCTCTTTGGATTGTCTAAGCTAAAATCCTCTCACGTATCAAATGCATTACTGACTGAGTGGGATCTTTTCTAATTGATCCCTTTAGCTCTAACTTGAAATGATGATCCCTCTGTCTGTTGTGACTTCCTGATAGTGTTTTTATCTCTACTGTTCCCTCCTTTTAAAATTTATTCAATGGAGATTTGAATGATTTTTCTTCTCAATGGAGTCGACAAAAAATAATTTTATCTTGTTCTTTTTTCTAACTGAATAACTCAAAAGATTTTACAGTGATTCTTACGACAAATGGTATCAAGATGGCTAAACGTCTTATCTAATATCATGGAAAAAAGAAACTCAATAATTTTAATTTTTTAGATATTAAACATATTTTGGAATGGACAATTACGCTGTTACACGATTTGGACAAGTTTGCTGTTACACCTGAGATACACACACACACACACACACACACACACATATATATATATATATATGTATATATATATATATATGTATATATGTGTGTGTGTGTATTGTTTACATTGATCGGATTATTGTCCTCATCTTCGCTGCCATATACACGAGGCTTTGCCTAAATACACAAATATATATATATATATATATATATATATATATATATATATATATATATATATATATATTTGTGTATTTAGGCAACTGGTTCTCTTTTAGGCATGTCTGATGAAATAAATTACAAATATTATGTCTGCTTATTTTGAGCATAATCCGTTCACATTCACGGATATTTTTCCGTGTATTATAATCAAATGATTCAAAAAATACATCGTGACACAGAAAATCACCTTTATTTCCCATGTACTTTCCATCTCTTTCTAAAGCATAACTGTCAACTGTTGCATTTAAACGCAAAGAGAAAAAAATGGATAGCTACACGTAATTTTTGCCTTACCAGTTACACCTCTGATGATGATATCAGAAAGAGACGCAAATAACTTGGGAAATAAAAATTATTTACTCTGTTACAGTGCATTTCTTGCATCATTTGATTGTAATACACGGAAAATATCCGTAAATATGAACGTATTATGATAAAAATAAACAGAAATAACATTTGTTATTTGTTTAATCAGACATATATATATATATATATATATATATATATATATATATATATATATATATATATATATTAAAAAGTCAAATAAAGTAGATACCCGTATTTCAGTTGACGTTTGGTTTATTTTAAATAGCTTTATATTTTGTCTACCGGCTTGCTCTTCCGAGAAATCCTCCGGTAGATTACAAACCTGCGTCCCGCTTTGCATTAATCCGCCGTGTATTAACAACTCAACTACGATGAGATTCCTCGTCGAGATTATCTCGAAAGTCCGGATAAACGGATAACTAAGTAATTTTTAACCAATTAACGGATTTTTTATTTATAATCCGTTATATTTTATTACTTTCAACTTTAGCGACTAATAAAAACGTTTAAAGTAGTCAAATATGTCCGAATATAAATTAAAACTGGATTAATTCTTTATATTTACTACAGTGTAACCCGGGTATAAGACAGTTGTCGGGACCGGAGAAGAAGTCTCTTCTATCCGGGTTTCTCTTATATCCGGGTTTGGTCTATTATATATACATTAACACAGGCTCTAATTTGGGACCAGAGAAAATCTCTCTTATATCTGGGTTTCTCTTATATCCGGGTCTCTTATATCCGGGTTACACTGTATTAAAAAATATCGCAGAGCAGCACCAACCACAGTGACCTCATTGAATAAATCTGAAGTTTTTAATTTATCATTTACTCACATATTTTAAAATAGTTTACATTACGAGTTATTTTACAAGGGTACATAAATGCTCTATAAAATGTAGTTGTTAAATACAGTGTAACCCGGATATAAGAGAGTTGTCGGGACCAGAGAAGAAGTCTCTTATATCCGGGTTTCTCTTATATCCGGGTTTGGTCTATTTTATATACAGGCTCTAATTTGGGACCAGAGAAAGTCTCTCTTATATCCGGGTTTCTCTTATATCAGGGTCTCTTATATCCGGGTTACACTGTACTTATATATTCATGCAGATACGAATACATAAAATTACTTTCGATTTTTCACCCATCCAATAAATGTACTGCTGAAATGGGCCGTATGCAGATAAATATATTCGAAACTATATTTTCAGGTTGATTGATTTGTTTTTTACGGTTTATCAACCTTTTGTCAGGACATATTTTTAGATTGTAAGAATTTTATGGAGATAATGAATTTTACTGATACATGTTCTACTAATTATCTCATAGGTGGGGGGAGCAGCGAGGGATTCGTTCTTTTGTCAAGGGTATTTGCGCGTAAGTGAATATAATGGACACCACCCGAATTGGAACTCAGCTCACCGATTTACACGTCCGGGCCATTATCCCTTAAACCACCCACACATCTAAGCTTACAGCATGTCGTATTCCCAAGCGGGCACCCATCTACATAATGACCAGGTTCGACGTTGCTTACCTTCAGTGATCGTACGAGAACCAGTGTTTTAGCGTGATATGACCGTAAGCTTATATATTTCCTGGATGCTGAGTCATATTTAATCACTTCGGAGAGAACGTGTGGAAGAGTAAGTGGAATCGGTCGAAATCCCTTAATGATTGATGCATTCGCTTTTCTTATCGGAAGCACATAATTCTTCTGACAAATTCTTAGAACATTTCGCGATCAGTTTTGACACTTCGACGAGGAAAATAAAAGGCGACAACCGGTAGTTTTCCGGCCCGAAATTGCACTAAGATCCTGTCAGAATGAATTTGGAATCTAAGTCAAGAATTATTTAGGGGTAAAATCTCTTGTCCTTTGATAATATGTAGAAAGGCGTTTGAAGGATTTTTCAAGAAAAAAAAAACAAAAAAAAAACAGTGTTAAGTGGTTGTCAGAGATATCGCAACAGGCTCCAATACAGAGACGTTAAAAAGACATATTATGAAAACGAACCGGTCGAAGAATACGTAATGGATTTGAAAAGTAAAAAAAATTCTCCTTCGGGTGTAGAACAGAATTTTACGTTCTTTATTTCTTTATTTTGCTTCTTTTATTGTTTTTTTTTTTGTTCATTTCTATATACGCATATATACATGATATTATTAAGCAAATGTTTATATATATAGGGGCGTTCGAATGGGAGTTAAAAGAAATGAGAAACAGAGAAAGTAAGAGAAAAAAGACCCCCCTCTTTTTTTTTTCTTTTTTCATTTCTATATACGCATATATACATGATATTATTAAGCAAATGTTTATATGTATAGGGTCGTTCGAATGGGAGTTAAAAAAGAAACGAGAAACAGAGAAAGTAAGAGAAAAAAAGACCCCCCACCCTCTTTGTTTTTTTTCTTTTTTCGAAAGTAATTGTATGAAAACATTTCTACACTGATATCTTTTCTTCTATATGCCGTGTACCTTCAGAGCGCGGACGATCATGGCTCTCCATTTTACATATTTTCAAATATATCTCGAGATTCTTGGCGAAATTTAAAGTAGAGTCTGTAATATAACAAATCTTGCTTTGGCATCTCGACTTCAGTCACTTTCTCACCGAAATGACTTCCTTGCCTCCTTTACAAGTATTTTCATGACAGTTATTCTGATAACCTTTCCACTTTAGTGTCTCGTCTTCATCAATTTAAGCGTTCTATTACATTGGCAACTAGGTCTGTTGCTCCTGCTGTATATATCAAGATTATTTACAAAAATCAAATAAATGTGTGTAATGAATCGATCCTTACTTGGCATCTCGACCTCAGTCACTTTGTCGGAGTTAGCTCCTCCTTAATTCCCAAATTGTCACTAGGGGGTTATTCTCTCTATACTATAAATACTGGGCGACTTCTCGCCTCGTTCTCTTTTTCATTTCTCCATTTCAGCGACTACAATGTAAGCTCTCTTAGAAGATCCGCGTCTTCCCATCTGTGGGAGAGGCCATGAACATTATACACATATGCACGTACATACGAACATTCACCAAAATACGAACGTTCACTAAAGAACAGACACCAATGTTTACACACACAAATGTTATTATCCATTGTAAAATTGTTTTGTATAATACATATATTTGTTTTTATATATATATATATATATATATATATATATATATATATATATATATATATATATGTATCGGTTTTGTTTGTCTTCTTTATCTTCAGTTGGACTTAATTCAAGTCCGGCCATTTTCTTTTAGTTGGACCTTTTAATATTCTACCAGGAGTTGCACACATATTTCTAATACAATAACACGCAAACACACACAATCCACAAGAACTTTCTCACCGACGTGACGTGTCTTCCCTTCCTTACAGAGAAATCGTACTTTTTTCCTTGTGCGACGATTACATGAATTTAAACGTACTTCCAGATTGGCAACTCCATCCCAGCGTTTTACTGTTAAACTAGATTGATTGATCCGTTTTTTCTCTTTTAAAAAGCTCTTTTTCTCGCACTTCGCATCGGTGGAAATCCTTTCTGATTTCTTATTTCCCTGCCACCGAAAATCTTCAAAAATTTAAATGCAATGCCAATCGCCATGTTCTGTTTTTATGAATCTCGTTCTTTTATCGTTCTTTCACCTCATCACTCAAATTTTCTCATTGGTTCTCACTTTCAGTAACCCCCACTTGCGTCTTAGTGCCATTAGCGCCTTGCTTAGAGTGAATTGATTAAAAACAAACTAAACAACTTGGAACAGAAAACGAGATAATTGCTGTAGAAACGTTTGACAGGATAATTGTATCTGATGTGTACATGTCGATGTATTTTGAAGCCGTAACCCCAAATGCCACTGAAGGGGTATATAAACATCTCATCCACAGACGTGTAAGGAGGGCTGGTGGGTTTTTTTACGCTCCATCTTTATACCGGAAGTGAAATCTGGACAGAAAACTAAATTTACTTACTTTAAGACTCTAACAATTCTATTGAGCTGTTGAACATTTACCGAATGTCATTACTTCCAATATTTTTCAAACTAAATGATGAAACTTTATTTTCCTTTATTTACATTATTTGGACTATTGTTCTCGTCTTTATTGTCATGTTCATGACGTTTCGGCCGTTGTCCGCTCCGGCCTTCTTCAGGTGATTGGAATTTTGACCCGAACCCTTTACTTATAATAAAGATGAGGACAACAGTCCGAACAATGTAAATAATTACAATACCTCATTTCAGAAATATAGACAGATATCCATCTTCCTTTCTTTTCGAAACATTAGTTTTTAACAGAGGAGGAAAAATGCAACAGCGATATCCGAAAGGACATTGCCTTAATGAAATAGGTATTCGAAAAGCTAAAAAAAAAAATTAAGAAACAGGGAAAACATTAGAAATAAAGAAAAGAGTGTCAAAGAGTTATCTCATATCAGTCCTCTTGTATCGCTTTGAATGCTGGACATTGGTCGGCAACAATTCCTAGCAGAGAAAACTGGAAGCAACAGAAATGCGGTTGTACAGAAGGATGCTGAGCATTCCATAGATGGAAAACAAGTCTTCAGGAAAATGGAAGCAAAAAGAACACATACTATTAATCAGAAAGCGACTGCCGAAATTTCTGGAACAAAACTCGAAGGAATGCTTGGAGAATTTGACACTCATGTGGCATATCTAGAGAAAGAGGGAGAAGGGAACGCAACGAACTGTAAATTGATGGTGGAACGATAGTGGGGGTAAGTTTCGCAAAGAGACAGACGTAGCTAAGGGATAACAAAGATAGGAAGTTGTGAAGAGCTATGATCGCTTACGCTCTGAAGAGTCACAGTACGTAGCAGAGAGCTATTAAAACTTGTATATATGTCTTATATGCAAGAAAAGGCTATTGGTTTTCATTTCAAAATGTAGGAGAAGACGAAAAGCAAATAGGTTAAGAGTTTTCTTGGAGATACTACTTGCAGCAGTTGTTGCAGTCATTTATGTTATATAGACATACAAGATATAAATATCACAGATGGTACAATGATAACACAAACATTTGTATCATTTTCAGTCTATGGTCAATGCCTTCAAGTAACTGACTTGTTTCTACAGACATTGATAGCTGCATATTGTATTCGTCTTAATTTACACATCCTGGGTAGTATCTTTTCTAAATGTTGAGTTATTAAAAAGCGTATCTCGAAGGTTATGAATCGTGATTTACAAGAGATTCTTTTTGTTTTGTTTTATAGCATATCAACCTTTTCAGGTTATTTAATGCCGGGTTCAGCTGTTTTGATAAACAAGAGAAAGATAACATGTGCGCGGTTTGCACAAGAGTAGAAATGTGTAGACAAAAGGTTTGGTCTGTATGAGAATCCAAAAGGTCCACATAGGCTTGGTTTGGACCAGGGTCAAAAGGTAGATACACACCCTTGCGCAACTTAATTGAAGCAAAACGAATAATTCCGTTATTATTTACTTTTTTTCGCATTTTTCCAATAAAACACAAGCCAGAGCATATGTTAGTACTTCGTATGCCCATTCCACGAAGTCATTCCTTGAAGACTGACCACCTATTCTCGATAAGATTTAAATCAGGAGAATTTCAGGGCCAATCTATTTTACTTTGATTTGCTCACTGATAAGGCTTTCCAGTGTGTTCGTGCAGCGTTAAAATTTTTGTACGCGTCGTTGGAGTAAGGTCCATTGCAGGCAATCGCCGTAGGACAACAAATCGACAGTCGAGACAATAGTGTCTGGGTGTGATAAAAATCTGATGCAATCACGGATGACACAATATTTTTCAAGGTTAAACAAATTTCATCATACACACCTAAAACAGACTTATATTACTTAACACCACAGCAAATGACCTAATCCGAGAAAAAATAGAAATTCAAATTCAATCAGTCATGCCTAAAGAGAATGTGCTCCTAAATACACACGCACGCACACACACACACACACACACACACACACACACACACACATATATATATATATATATATATATATATATATATATATATATATATATATATATATATACGCACTTGTGCAAATTAATTAAAACGAAACTTTTAATTCCGTTATTTACTTTTTTTTTTTCGTATTTTTCCATTGATACCCAGAGCACATGTTAGTACTTCGTATGACAAGCCACAAAGTCATTCCTTGCAGATTGACCACAGATTCTCGATTGGTAAGGCTTGCCAGTGTGTTCCTGCAGCGTTACAGTTTTTGTACGCTTCCTTGGAGTAACGTCAATCGCAGACAATGGTCGTAGGACAACTAATCGACAGTCAAAACAATAGTGACTGGGTGTAATAAAAATCTGATGCAATCATGGATGACGCAATATTTTTCCAGGTCAAATTTCATCATACACCCCGAAAATAGTTTCATATTACTGCACACCACTGCAAATGACCTAATCAGAGGAAAAATAGAAATCGATTACACACTGGCACTCCAGGGAGACTAAAACTGACTGTATGGTGAAAGAAAGAGACACTAAAACGGTTGTTTCAATTACTTTGCACTAGAGTGTAGGTTTGTCTTGCATGAGAGTCAAAAATGTAGAGATCTTTTTACT